CTTCTTTTCTTCCCTCCTTTCTCTCTTTCTGTCCCTCCCTCATTACCGCTCTTCCTCTCTCTCGACCTTCTTCATCTTCTCTTTCCTCCTCCTTGCCGTTTTCTTCTTCCCCTTCATCATCTTCTTTTCGCCTGCTTTACCCTCGTGGTCGGCGTTGGGTTTTGGAGTGTCTCTTGTAAGCGCACGTCCGTGTGTGCACTGATTACAATGTGGTGGGCATGTGAGGTAATCTGTGCGCACAATCTGAGAGCCTGTTGAGGTCAGCGCATGCCAATCACTCAGTCGGCCTCCAGTGCACGCCTGTCCATCTAGCAGTAAATGTCACTCTACCTTCCCTCTGCATGCACTTCCTCTCCCTCCACAACACCAACACCACTGACTCACTCACTCACTCCTCGAGCTGCAAGCAAATCAACTTCCTGCCTTCCTTCCTTCCTTCCTTCCTCGCCTTCTCCTTCTCCTCCTCCTCCACCACCACCACCACCACCACCACCACCTTCTTCCTCCTTTTGTGCCTTCTTCTCCTCCTCCTCCTCCTCAACACTGGCCTTCTGTCTGACGTGAGGGTGTGGTGACACTGTGTGATGCACACACAAACCCACTCCCCAATCCCTCACAACGCCTGTGCTTTCTGTACCCAAAAATTGTCTGGAAAACAATTCTGTACGCATGTAAATTGCTTTGACGGAGGCACAGTGGGCTTTTCTGCTGTCAGCCCAACAAAACGGCAGTGCACTCGCGCACCACCGTGAGCCATTAATGCCATGGGAATGGTGTGTTTGCTGCGCCACTTTCCTGCACATTATTTCACCTCCCTCCTCTCCCCTCCTCGGCCTCCGCCCCTTGCGTCCCTCTATTGCATTATCACACCTCTCCACCATAATTGCCTCTGTTTTAGTAACTAATGCCCAGCAGAAGTCTGCCCGCACCTTCTTTGCACACACACACACACACCACAGGCCTGAGGTGCTGTGTGTGCATGTGTGTGTGTGTGCCAAGGTGTAAAGCGGTCGTGTGGGTGGTTGTGCGTACGATCAAGGCAGAGCGCAGTTGAGCATGTCAAGCTCCTTCCTTCTACTCTTCTCTCTCTCCCTATCTTAACATGGGCGCGAATAATTTATTGTTGCAGTGTGGCATTGCCACCTGGCGCAGTGCGACAGTTAACGCAACCTCGGTTGCAAGTGCTAAACAAAGAGTAGATGTTGATGAACTGGTGAGATGGGACGTGGTGGGAGAGGGAAAGGAGCAGGAGGAGGCATCCAACACCCTTGGCATTTCCATTCTTTAACCAGTAAGGTAGTGAGGAGGATGGATTTGACCACATGAAAGAGCGCACAATGGCGCTCTCGATCTCCTTTCCTCCTTCATTTGGTTAAAGTAAACATTTTGAATGCATAGTCATGGTGACACCTTCGTGATACTCTAGTGAATTTACCCTCCCAGATAATGGATTGGCAATCTCCTGCTTTTGCCTTTTCCTTCCCTTCTTGTAAGATCTACGCTAGTCCTTTCAAATCCCAAATTAATATTGTATAAAGGAAAAAAAGGACATAAAGAACTTCATACCGTGTGTAGATGATACGGAGAGGGGCTAAGAGCGGCTCTTGGCTGTTCTTTTCAGAGGTGTTGGCCGTAAATCCGTCTGACATATCAACAAAACCCGAGTGAGGAAGTGAGTCAAGTGGTTGTGTAGCGAATGTTGTGGGTTGCATATTGGCATTGTAGGTGATTTGAAGAAGCAGTCGATCTGAGGCTGGACTTCTGAAGGTCTCAATTCGTGATTCCCGATCCAATGTAACCGATAGAACTGGTTGACCATTGATCTGACAACAATGACATGGAAGTTTGAAAGGCCTTTTGTGCCTCCACAGATCTCCTCCAACACAATTTTGTAGATAAAAATTAAGCAACTATGCCTCTACAGAGGCTTGAAGGCATCACAATGTAACCGCAATTACGAGCATATGGAAGAGGTGGAGGAAAACACAAAAATTTATGCCAAAAACATAGACAAAAGAACTTACTGAGAGTGTTTTTCGAGTCTTTTGAATTGTACTGTCAGTGGTGATGTCTCTTTGACCTCGACCAAGGAAGAGGGAGGAGGAGGAGGAGGAAGAAGAAGAAGAAGAGTGACCAGAAAACCATGAAGATCTGCGTTTACGTGTAAAACGTCCACCACTTTCACCATCCTGACTACTCACTCCAAAGACATCGAAACTTGACATCACTCTTTACCCCAAAAAAAAAAAACAAAAAAAAAAAAACAAAATAATCAACATGGAAGGTGAATAATTGAGGTGTTTTGTGTTAGAGTCGACAATACTTACAAATTCTCGATAGTTCGAAGCACCTGAGTTGAAGTGTTGCCCATACTTAGAAGAGAAGCTGGCGATGGTGGTGATGGCGCTGGTGGTGGTGGTGGTGGTGGTGGTAGGGAGAGAAGATTCTCCAATGACTGAGGTTGAACGTACATTCGAATACGTCTACCAATCTGCCAGGAGGCGTGATTTTCTGTGCTGTCAAGAGAGTTGGACGGTGGTTCGAGTCGTTCAAAGACAACTTCTTCAGCTCCATTTGAATACGTCAACTTGATAACTTCGGTGTTTTGTGAGGAAATCATTGAAACTTTTCTTCGTCCTACAAACAGAGGAGGAGGAGGAGGAGGAAGAAATGTGCTTGGACACATATCTTTTGAGACAGGAATCTCAGAGAGAAAGGGGGAAAAAAAATGAAACTCACTGGTGTCTTTAAAAATATCGATGCCCCGTTTCCAGCCTTTTGTCTTTTGCAGAGGATACAACCATCCTGACGGAAGAACTATCGACTCCAGAAGGCTATTTGTGGAAGAATACGTGACTACGTAGGGTAGAGCGCTAGAAACTGTCCAAATTTTTGTCAATTGACCTCCATCTGAATACTCGTAGCGATTTAGACCCCCAAAGGGGTTCACAATTGACACCACACCACCGTTCATTGCTCCAATGGTGATGTTATACGTCTCACCTAAAAAAAAATCGACATGGACGTGCTAGAGGTTGGTTAGCATTAGGCTGTTTTGGGATCTAGTGATTGTTCTACTCGTGCTATCCATCCCGCCAACCTATCACATTCATCCGTAAGAGGGTCCAGACAACCTCGATTGTGGAGAACACAGAAAGGGAAAGCAATGTAGACTTACCGGTGTTCAAAACCACTTGCTGTGGAAATCCAAGAGGACTTCTCTTGAGGTGTAGCTCTGATGCTCCCATACGCACTGTTGAAAGCCATCCACTTGCTGTGAATGTGAAGGAGGAGACTTGATGTTGTGTTAAGGTGTCCACCACACCTTCTAATTGGCCTTGCTTTTCAAAGACTTGTGTCTCCATGGCCATTCGTCGAATAACATACTTTCCGTTAGCTCTCAATCGTGGAGGTTTAGAATGAATAGCAAATACCACATTGTGTCCAACATCCGAGACAAACACCTCATCAAAAATGCCTACAGTGATTGAAGTGATGTTTCCAAAGTGGAATTCCAAAGCAGGATGTTCTGTCAGAAGAGCAGATTGACTGTAGGATTGTGATTTCCTTAAGGGATGAAGAAGGTGTAAATTGGTAATCTGAGGAGCATCCCACACTGAAGTTGACTTGCTTCCAGCAAAAAGATGCAGACGACCGTCAGAACGACGAATCCAAATAACTTCTGATTCAGCAATGTACAATTCACCAAGAGAGGAGAATGCAATTCCCCGAATGTCGGAGAACTCGACATCCACAGCAAAGGGTGCATTGACAACTCCAAAGCCTTCATTTGACGATGAGGACGAGGTAGATGTTGGCATTGAGATGGAAGGTGGGTGAGGTTTGCAACCTGGAAGCCTACCAGCAGCTAGTGAGACCATTCGACTTGCCAAATGTAGACGAAAGACCTACAGCAAAATTATTGCAAAATCAAGAGGCCTTTCAAAGAGTTGGGAGTGTACAAAAGAAAAAGAAGAGACTCCAAGCATACGCGTTTATCATCGACGTAGTAGATGCTGTCTTCAACAGGATTGTAGGCCACAAAGGATGGATTGTGGAGCTGGACCTTATTAGTTGGCAGTGACTTCTCACAGGACATGGGCACAACACCTTCATCCAACTGACCAATAACAAGCTCCATACGAGTTGAACTTTGACCTGGTAGACTTCTTAATTGATAACGCCATAGTTGTTTGTCATCAATGAAGAAGAGGTCCTCCTAGAAGTTGAGAAAAGTTCGTCAATAATTGTTCCATTCAGCAAGGCTATCAGTCCTAATTAAGTGAAATCAATGCAACCGATGACTACTACCTTCAAACCCTCCACAACCTACATTGTACGTGACAACAAGACCCTTTGGATTCATCAGAGGCTTTCGAAGGCAATCAGACATGGTGTCGTTGGGTGGACACTGCTCGCTAATGACCATATGACTGAAATCCGGTCTAGCCAGACTGGTCCACCAGATTGTTCGATTTCGGGTGTCAGAAATGAAGATACCGGCGCGACCGCCACCAATTCCACCTCTGGAAAGGGCCTCCAATTCCTCACTGCTGATTGGATGGCGCGCAATAAAGTACTCTGGCCAATCCTCTTCTCCTATTCCGCCATTCAAGAAGCTCATTGATTGCAAGTTGGATACGAGCCAATCGGAAGACGAGGAGGAGACCTGCGAGCCACCGCCAGTTATGGAAACTGGTGTATCGACATAGGGACTGGAAATGATAGTGTTGGTAGAACGTAATGCTGTTTGCCAACGAAAAAAGGTGTATTAAAGAGATGGTTGACATACCTCAAGGTGTCGATGGTCTGACGATGACTTTCCACTTGAAGGTAACGTAGGAAGTGACCATCACCTACCAACAATCGTCCAGTCTCATCAGTTGCAAGACCAACAACTCGAAAAATGGGATTTCCACGTGCACGACCGAGGCACACTTCGCACCGATTGGAGAGACGACGAGCGTTTGGTTTGCCAAGAATCAACTCCACTACAAGATTGTCTTCTCGAACTGAGGCGCGTCTACCGTCACCCCTACACAAAAAAACAGCAAGATGCGGATGAGGTTGGGGAACGTCATCCGTCACTCTAGACAGTGTGGATACATCTCACGGTGTAGGGAAATGCCTTTTTGTTAAAACATTTGAAATAATGAGATGCCTGAAGACCCAGAAAGCCTATTTGGACGTCAGTCGACAATAGCGAAAACACTAATGAACGCCTGGATGATTCATAAATTGCGAAGATGAGGAAAAAAGTCAGAATCACATAAAAAACACAAAAAAGTGACTTACATATAGACAACACCTTGATTTGGAGCAAAAGTGTGACGTGCGTCCAGATTCCAACCGGCTAAATCGGTGGGCGTGATGTCATTGCCGTCAATGTAGACTATTCGATGCTCCCAAAACACGGTAGAACACTGTGCATAGAGAAATCCCACTGATACTGTAAAAATGGGGAAAAAAAAGAATAAGAGAAGTATTAAGTAGGGGAGACATTAATCAGGGAGACGTGAGCTTCCTAACCGCCTCGGTGACACCTCAAACGACGTAGTGATGACAGGTAGACTTGCAGATTCCTCCAAAGCTTCAACCCATTTAACCATCAACCTCCTCACTTCCTCATTCATCCAAGAAGCACAAGCACAAACAAAATAAACCAAATCAAGGGAGGAGGGAGTGGCTTCCATCTCTCAAGGATTCACCAATCTAGTCCTGCGTCAGACTAAAGAAGCGAGACCGCACACGCAAAAAAAAAGACAAAAACCCTAAAACAAAACTTTGCCCAGCAGACATAAAGCCTTGGAAAAGTTTCTACAATCTTGCTAATATATATACATTTTTTTAAAAGCAGAAATTTTATGCCACAAACTAAAATTTGAAATGATAGAAGCCCAAAAATGCAACACTGTCAAAAATTACTTTCGAGTTTGTCAAGAGGGAAGGAGTTGGAGGGAGTGAGAGGGGAAAAAAAATTCTCGTGACATAAATGATTGCATTAGTTTAGCAAAATTTTAAGAAATAGAGCCTAATGTAAGTAAAAAAAGTTTTTTTTTTTCACATTGGCTTTGGGTGATGGTTGTTATTTGGTGCCTTGAGAAGCATCGATGGGGTGGGGAAAAGGGGGACAGTCCCATCTTCCCTTCACCTTTCATGTCAACGGGCTTGGACCTTGTCCTCTGACCAGCCAAAGTGATGGAGGCGATAAAAACTTCACTGATGGGGACACGGGATGGTTTAAATTATAGTATCTGTTTAGCCTTGACCTTGGAGTGACGAGTAGCCCTCTTGAAGGTGACCTTCACGTAATGCTGACCAATCAGAAGAAGTGAAGGAAAGTGAAAGGCTAGCCAGGGACCAGAAGTGGATCATAAACAGGTTAGCAGTTGAAGAATGGCACTAACCACATTGCCCATGGTTTTGTGTAAAAAAATGGCACTGTTTTGTTAACCAAATATGTATTGTGGCTATCACTTGGCGTCTTGAGAAGTACCAATGAGAGGAGGAGGAGGAGGAGGAGAAAGACAGAGTGGCAAAATGTGATGAAAGGTGATAAAAGTATTTTTTTTTCCAATTGGGACACAGGATGTGTACTCATGATATCAACTTAGCCTTGACTTTGCAATGAGAAGTATCCCTCCGAACGGTGACCTTCACGTGATGCTGACCAATCAGAAGAGACGAATGAAAATGAGATACCAAAAATGAGAAGTAAGCAAGGCATCCATTTGAGAATCAAAACAATCAGATCACCTACACTTGTGTGTAAGAAAGTTAGCACTAATTTAACACTAATTTAAAAAAATAATAATTATTATTATCCTTCCAGAGTCAATGACACTCACCACGATACCCCAAGGTCAAAATGATATCCCCAAAGGTGTTATGCTTGGCATTGAAATGCATAGGTTAGAAGTGACACACTTTAATGATGATTTTTAGCATTATGTATATGGCATTCATTTATTTAGTGCCTCCTGTGACAAGTTGATGCATGTCTCATAGTGAAATATGATTGAAAAGTAATTGCATCCGTACGGAGGGAGGAAGGGAGGGAGGGAGAGAGAGAGGCGTTTTGCTATTCAACTCCAGAGGAGAACCAGTCACTTCTCTTCAATTGGACTTGAATTATGCATAAGCATTTCAAGACGGTGTAGGCGATGACTGTGAGCCAGACAACTTTCAATCATGCCAACTTTTAAAAGGCAAGAGAAGGAGGTAGGTGAAAAGCACAATAAACCGTGTGGCGTGGTGATAAAAATGAGGCACTTTTTTTATTTTTTTTTTGCACACCGACTTGTCTACCCGCCTTTCCGAGCTGCAGGTAATTACAGTGAAACTTGACAAAGACTAGAATTTGCAAGAAGGTTGAACAATAGAGATTGAATCAACAATTGCTTTGTTAACTTTCGCCTCCAAAAGTTGGTGGAAGGAAGAAGAGGAGGGAGGAAGTTGTACTTTCCACGGAGGAGGGTAAATGCAAGGAGGTGCCAAATGGAGTTGGAAAGGGCATTAAAGTCGTCAAAAATGATCGCATCACCAACAGGCATCAACAACCACAGCCACAACAGCAGAAAAAAATGGAGTTTACCTCTAGCAAGAACTCGACCGTAGACTGATCTGTTGTAGCCATCGGTACGATTCCAGACAAAAGTGAATTCCAAGCCTTGAATCGGTTCAAATCGCCAAGCTTGCAGTAAACCAGCGACGTCAATGGAGAGGTGCACCTCATTAAGGTTGTCTGGAGGTGATCTATCGGTTGCAAGCATCCTCACCACCAAAAATGAGGCCGATTTTACTGTCTTACCCGAACTATGCACCAAATGAAGTCTTGAAGGCTTGAAAAAGGACAACAAAAAAACCATCACACTCTTCGACATTATTTTTATTTATTTATTTTTTTTTGATAGAAAGATTTAAATCTTACTTTTAAGGCGTATCTGTGAACAAGAATGCCTCCACGACTGATACAGACAGCTCCGTGAGAATCGAAACAGACAAGCTCATCATCATTAGCGTCAACTTCATTGTCATGCCACTTTGGTTCAATAGTTGGTCCACCAAGACGACTGATATCGTGGACATCAGGAGGACAGAAGTCGGCAGTGGTGTCCGAAGTGGTGGAGGGCAGGAGACCGGCTATCCAAAGATCACCGAAAATAGGCGAGGCTGGAAGTCTTCCTCCAACACCTCTCACTGCACCCTCATGATAAGCATGATTGTTGGGAGGAGACGAAGACGACGCCGGTGAAAGAATGGAATTTGATCTATCATGGAGGTAGAAGTCGCCAATATTGACAATTTGATTCACAGGAACGTAGACATCCAATTGAGCAGTAAATCGACTGGTTGGATGACGAATGAACTCCAATTGAACAAGAAATCCTCCATCCACAACCAATTCAAAGCTTAAATAATAAAAAATACGAATACTTTCAATTAAATATAAATAAAAAGAGTTACAAATAATTGAAGGAGGTGAAAGTACCGCCCATTTTTGTCGGTCAATGCGGAACCAATGACGGGATTGAGACGATCAAACACTCGACAACCCCAAAACGGTGTGCTGTCCCATTGACGAACAACTCCACGAACCACAGCAACCCGACTAAAAGGCATTTTTTTAAAAAAAATTTTAATAATACATAAATAAGAAGACAGCAATTCACAATAAATGCAGACAAAAGGCAGTGTAGACGCACCGTGGATCCACTTTATCAGTAGTGAGATCTCGAAGGAGGAGAAATTCCAACTGATCGTAGAATGAGCTGCCTGGTGTGGGTAATTTAGTGCTTAAAATGAGAGCACTAATTTCAGTACTGTGTGCACAACTTTGTCTAGCATCCTCCACCACTTGATCTTGATTGCCTTGTAGTCGAATCAACTTTTCACAATGCTCAGTGCTACAGCAATCGGGATCCAAACAGTCAATGAGACCGTCTAAAAAGTACAACAACAGCAGCAGCAGAGGCGATCACCCCTCTTCCTAATGTCCATTTCATTTATTTTATTAAACAGAAGACGGTGTTTTTACTAACCTTGATCGTCATCTTTTCCATCATTGCATACAATTTCATGCGAGACTTGACAAGCTGAGCCCTTTCGATTGGTGAAGCATTGACAGAAGTAGTGACCATCATCACTTTGATTGCAATGACCTTGATCGCTACAACCCAGGGGACACTCATCTGACAAGATAAAAGAAAAAAAAGTATTTATTTTTTTAAAAAAACCACTTCTCAATGTCTATCATGACAATGACATGAGCTTTGGCATCACCAAATCTGTGCTACCAACTGAAATGGCATAAAATCAGTGAAATAAAAGGGGGGGGGGG